CTTCAAGCACACCATTCAATAATGCTGACTTGACATCCATTTGAAAAATCTGCAATTTAAATTAAGCTGCTTGAAAAATGAGCAATCGGATTGTCTTCATTCTAGCATGGGAGCAAACACTTCATCATAGTCGATGTTAAATAAAAGCCATGCCTTATTTAGTTAGGTTTGTAAAAACATCTGAATTCACGCGAATGGAAGAGCGTGATTCTAGGTGCCATTGTTTTGGCAATTTGGGCGAAGTCTTCGTCCATTCTTCTATTTTTGTATAATTGGTTTTTCTATTTTTGTAATTAGATTTGTTATTTAAACCGTTCAACTGAAGGAAAATAATATATCGAGTCTTCCGCAAATATCAGCGAATCTCTCTCCCTCTCTCCTTTTACTTCCGCTAATTTTTTCCCTCCGAATTGCCAGAGTCAACAAGTGGTATCAGAGCCTCGTTGAAGCGATCAGTAGTATACCATTGAAGAAGAGCCAATCTTATCAACAAACAAGTTGAATAGCTCAAGTGGTTAGAGTGTCGACCTAACAACACACAGGTCTCAGGTTCGAGTAGAAAAAAATGCAAAGCATGAAAACACACACATCGTGGGGCCCATCTCAAGTAGGCCCTCGTGGCTCAATTTGAGTAGGACGAGCCAACTCTCTAGAGGTAATCGACAACGATGTTGAGCCCGAGAAGGTTGACCGATGTCTACTTCATCTCGATCTTGGGTTGCTCTATCTCTAACTCCAGGATGTAAAGACGGTTTTGTTGTGTGCCTTGCCTACGTGAACAGTCGTCATTGATTATCGCAGATTTTGAGTAGTCCGTGCTCAATGGAAATGAAGCAGCTCGTCCTCTTCGGATTGAGCCACGAGGGCCTACTTGAGATGGGCCCCACGATGTGTGTGTTTTCATGCTTTGCATTTTTTTCTACTCGAACCTGAGAGGTGCTGACTAGGAAGGAGTAATTGATTCTTTGGTTTGAGTTAGAAGTTCTTGTTAGTTATTTTATGTCTTTTGGCTCATAGAGAGTCAATCTCAATATGCGTTATGTGAGTGTCCTTGTAGTGGTCCTTATTCCGGAAGGGGATTTATGGAGTTTGTGTAAGCGTGTGTCGCCTAAATTGCCATTGAACGGTTTAAATGGACGAAGACTTCGCCTAAATTGCATTTCCATCGAGCGCGGACTACTCAAAATCTGCGATCGTCAATGACGACTGTTCACGTAGGCAAGGCACACGACAAACCGTCTTTACATCCTGGAGTTAGAGATAGAGCAACCCGAGATGGGCCCCACAATATGTTTCGCCTAAATTAGAGATAGAGCAACCCGAGATGGGCCTGGACTAAGACTTCGCCTAAACGTCTTTACATCCTGGAGTTAGACCACAATGTGTTTCGAAGGCAAGGCACACGACAAACCGTCTTTACATCTTGGACAAACCGTCTTTACATGGAGTTAGAGATAGAGCAACCCGAGATGAGCCTGGACTAAGACTTCGCCTAAACGTCTTTACATCCTGGAGTTAGACCACAATGTGTTTCGAAGGCAAGGCACACGACAAACCGTCTTTACATCCTGGACAAACCGTCTTTACATTCTGGAGTTAGAGATAGAGCAACCCGAGATGGGCCTGGACTAAGACTTCGCCTAAACGTCTTTACATTCTGGAGTTAGACGACAAACCGTCTTTACATCCTGGAGTTAGAGATAGAGCAACTCGAGATGGGCCCCACAATGTGTTTCGCCTAAATTGCCATTGAACGGTTTAAATAACAAATCTAATTACAAAAATAGAAAAACCAATTATACAAAAATAGAAGAATTGACTAAGACTTCGCCTAAACGTCTTTACATCCTAGAGTTAGACGACAAACCGTCTTTACATCCTGGAGTTAGAGATAGAGCAACCCGAGATGGGCCCCACAATGTGTTTCGCCTAAATTGCCATTGAACGGGTTAAATAACAAATCTAATTACAAAAAAGGCAAGGCACATGACAAACCGTCTTTACATCCTGGAGTTAGAGATAGAGCAACCCGAGATGGGCCCCACAATGTGTTTCGCCTAAATTGTCATTGAACGGTTTAAATAACAAATCTAATTACAAAAAAGGCAAGGCACACGACAAACCGTCTTTACATCCTGGAGTTAGAGATAGAGCAACCCGAGATGGGCCCCACAATGTGTTTCGCCTAAATTGTCATTGAACGGTTTAAATAACAAATCTAATTACAAAAATAGAAAAACCAATTATACAAAAATAGAAGAATGGACTAAGACTTCGCCTAAATTGCCAAAATTGCGTAATCTAATTACAAAAATAGAAAAACCAATTATACAAAAATAGAAGAATGGACGAAGACTTCGCTTAAATTGCCTAATCTAATTACAAAAATAGAAGACTGGACGAACAAGACTTCGCCTAAATTGCCAAAATTGTCTAATCTAATTACAAAAATAGAAGAATGGACGAAGAACTTCGCCTAAATTGTCTAATCTAATTACAAAAATAGAAGAATGGACGAAGAACTTCGCCTAAATTGCCTAATCTAATTACAAAAATAGAAGAATGGACGAAGAACTTCGCCTAAATTGTCTAATCTAATTACAAAAATAGAAGAATGGACGAAGAACTTCGCCTAAATTGCCTAATCTAATTACAAAAATAGAAGAATGGATGAAGACTTCGCCTAAATTGCCAAAATTGCCTAATCTAATTACAAAAATAGAAAAACCAATTATACAAAAATAGCAGAATGGACGAAGACTTCGCCTAAATTGCCTAATTTAATTACAAAAATAGAAGAATGGACGAAGACTGGACGAAGAAGACTTCGCCTAAATTGCCAAAATTGCCTAATCTAATTACAAAAATAGAAGAATGGACGAAGAACTTCGCCTAAATTGTCTAATCTAATTACAAAAATAGAAGAATGGACGAAGAACTTCGCCTAAATTGCCTAATCTAATTACAAAAATAGAAGAATGGACGAAGAACTTCGCCTAAATTGTCTAATCTAATTACAAAAATAGAAGAATGGACGAAGAACTTCGCCTAAATTGCCTAATCTAATTACAAAAATAGAAGAATGGACGAAGACTTCGCCTAAATTGCCAAAACAATGGCACCTTGGCACCTAGAATCAGGCTGTTCTTCCATTCGCGTGAATTCAGATGTTTTTACAAACCTAACTAAATAAGACATGACTTTTATTTAACATCGACTATGATGAAGTGTTTGCTCCCATGCTAGAATGGAGACAATCCGATTGCTCATTTTTCAAGCAGCTCAATTTAAATGGCGGATTTTTCAAATGGATGTCAAGTCAGCATTATTGAATGGTGTGCTTGAAGAAGAAGTATACCTCGAACAACCTCCCGGGTACATGAAAATTGGAGAAGAGAAGAAGGTACTAAAATTGAAGAAGGCGCCTCGAACAACCTCCCGGGTACATGAAAATTGGAGAAGAGAAGAAGGTACTAAAATTGAAGAAGGCGCTTTACGGGTTGAAACAAGCACAAGAAAATTGGAGAAGAGAAGAAGGTACTAAAATTGAAGAAGGCGCTTTACGGGTTGAAACAAGCACAATGAGCATGAAAAACTCGCATCGATACATACTTCAAGGAGAACGGGTACAAGCAATGTCCCCATGAACATTCACTTTACACAAAGAAGAGTGGAGGTAATGTGATACTCGTCGCTCTTTATGTTGATGACCTCATCTTCTCAGGCAATAATGATGAAATGATAGAAGAGTTCAAAAGCATAATGACATGAGAATTTGAGATGACAGACTTGGGCTTGTTGAAGTTTTTCCTCGGTTTAGAGGTTAAACAAGGAGAGACAGGCATTTTTATATCACTGGAGAAATATGCAAAGGAGATTTTGAAGAAGTATAAGATGAAAAATTGCAACCCGGTATCAACACCAATGGAACCAGGCACAAAACTCTCGAAGTACGATGAAGGAGAATGAGTAGATGCAAATAGGTACCGGAGCCTGATGGGAAGCCTTTGCTATCTTACATGCACAAGGCCAGATCTTTCATTAAGTGTCAACATAATAAGTTGGTTCATGGTGGAGCCAATCTATTCACATTGGAAGACGTTGAAGCGAGTCCTACGGTATATCCAAGGAACGATGTCACTTGGCTATTCTACTCAAAAACAGAAGAATACAAGTTAGTTGGTTACTCTGACAGTGATTGGCGAGGAGACAGACGATTGTAAAAGTACATTTGGTTATGTATTTTTCATGGGCAGTACAACATTTACTTGGCTTTCAAAAAAATAATCTATCGTGACACTCTTGACGTGTAAAGCTGAGTATGTAGCAGCATCTTGGTGTGTGTTTCACGTAATATGACTTAGAAATTTGTTGAGTAAGATGGAGCTAAAGCAACGAGGTGCAACCGTAATATAAGTTGACAACAAATCAGCAATTGAGTTGGCCAAGAACCTAGTGAACCATGAAATAAGCAAACACATTGACGTTCGATTTCATTTTATCTGAGATCATGTGAAGGAAAGAAACGTGGAATTGCTGCATGTGGCAAGTCAGGATCAAGTTGTGGACATCTTTACAAAACCGCTACCGATAGTACTTTTCGACAAATACAAGAAGATAATGGCATGACAGATGACGAGCATTTAAGTTTATGGGGGAGTTTTGTTGGGAATAAACTTAAATGAAAAAAAGTAGTTTTTAATTGTGTTAATTTTAATACGTTTTTGAAATTGAGTCGTAAAAGAAAAAAATGGAAGGCCAATACTTAAAGGGTGGGTTTATGGGATATCAATTTTCCTCTAAATTAATTTGTTTTCCAAGGTAGAGCAAAAGTGTAGAGAACAAAAACTACCCAGCAATAGAAAAGGGTTTTCAGAATTCTTTGTCTCTTTGTTTCTTCCCTCTCGACATCTCCTTCACAGCTTCGTGAGTGTTATTTTAATAAGTTAGTTTTAGAACGGGCGTTTATTTCTATAAATTGATATCAGAGCATACTGTTATTTTCAACGCTCTAGAACCATTTCAACTAGTTAGTGCCAACACGTGTGCATTACAAAACTGTTGCTACCAATTCCAAGCAACTCACTTCCTTCTTATCTCTCTCCACCATCAAGTTCCTCTTGATCATTCAGCAGAATTGCTTCCTTACTCATCATCTCTCCATTTCCCTCTACCCTGTTCCCACTCCTGTACCCAAAAAATGATTCTGATGTTGGTTCATCTTCGTCGCCATCTTCTTCAGTTTGCTTATCTTTCGATCGCAGGCCCGACTCACTTCGCATCCAATCGGGACAACGATGCACAACTCCTACACCACCAGCCTGAGCTTGCGAATGAGTCAAACGACTCGAAGAAGCATGCTCTTCTGAGTCCTGTCTTGAGCAAGAACATTCAGGAACTGGATGTGATAGAAAAGATATTGATTTCACTACTGTTGATGCCTCTATCAATCCGTCGAGTAACGACTTCCTTAGATGTTGCCGAATCGATCTCAGCCATGTGTAGTTTGCATGATATAGCTGTTCTCTGGTTTCTGATAAGAGTGTTGCCACTTCTCTTCTGCATTGACAAAAGCGTCGTAAAGTTAGCTCGGGTCAACGGCGAATATATCAATATAGAAGAACAGATACCTATCAGGCCGGTATGTTTTAAGTGAAGCTGACTGATAAAGTCTATGGCCCATCACTAAGCTTGCGAAATTCGGATGCCCCTTGCCATCACGATCGAACCCGGGGATAAAAACATCGGCTTCGACAGATATAAAGTAATCAATAGCTTCCCAAAGCAATTTATGGGCATTGGTTCTCAACTCCATTACAGTACTTTCAGGCTCAATGTCACTCTCAGCCACCCAACCCCACCAACCTTCTATGTTATGTGGATATTTCAGCCTAGCTGGCGGAGGTGGCAACGGGCGAGGACGTGGACCGTCACTCTTCCACGTATCAGGCTTCGACTCCTTCAATTCAGAAGGTGGAGACCTTGGATAGTTTCCTCCGACGTTAATCTCACGACCATAAAGCCTACTAAGTTCCCATGGGGTGCTGAGGGAAGTCCTGTCAACGACATTCTCGAAAATAGCATGGAGAGGAATCAAGGTTCGTTGTCCACCGAAAACTTCTCCGCCCGACACATATATAATGGTGTCCCATGAGTATCCATGAGCCCGGAGAAGGATTCCGACCTGTAAAAGGTGAATATTCATGACATCAAATTCTCCATTTTCATCTAACCATTTGATCCAAACAACTATAGCTTACCTCTTCTGGCATTAGAGGGCAAGAACCATTTAGTCGTTGCCCCTCGGAGTTCATCGAAAGCTTCCCCTTGACGATCCCGCGCCTTCGCATCCACACTCTTTTGTGCTGAATGAGCTCATTATGTACATCCTGAATTTCATTTCAAATTTAAAAAATAGATCACTAAAATGATAGTATCAGTTGCATAATCAAGGTTAAAATAATGTACCTGAAACAGTTCAGCACAACCATAATACGCCAAGGCCTCTCTTGTCATCCCAGGATAGTAGGCTACGAACGGCCTGCCCGGAGCTCTTAACCTACGAAAAAATTCGAGTAAGAAGAACCGTTTCGTGAACCATTCAAAACATTTCAAATACTTACCTATGCAGAATTTTAGTGGCAAGATCCTGAACTTCCACTCTGAATTGAAGAGCATGGAAGGCAACTCTACACCTCAATCTCTGATACTCTTCAAGATCAGGCGGAAGGATAGCCTAGATGTTCATTAAAGAGTACAATCTATGAGATTTCGAAAAGTTCGACCACCGAGATGTTCGTTATAAAAAGTTACCTGCAAGCATCCACCGTCGGAGATGACAAGTTCGACCACCGAATGCTTCTTCAGAACAGGAAGAACATGGTGGCGATAAAAATATGGGGATGCTAAGTAAGATGGTTTGAAATGTGGGATCTCCTTTTTCCTCCGAGCACCTTTCAGATTTCTCGGAAGTGTCTTCACGATCTTAACGTCTCTAGTCAAGGCTGCAATGAACTGGTCTTCATTATAGAGATAAGCAAAACTCTTGAACTGGGAGCTGCATGAACATGATTGAACAGCTTTGACTAAAAAGGTATTTTTGTGAGCAATGGAAAAGGTAATATAAAATGGAACAGTTCAAACCTGATTCCTTTGCTGCTTGTGGTTGATAGAATCTCGGGAATTACTAAGGTAGCATTAAGTAACCGAGCAATGACAACAACATCGCATATCTAGAAGGCCAAGCATTTTCAATTCCTTCAATTTGATATCATTACCTGATAGGATTATCATAAAGAAGATCAAAGCATTGCATCCTTACCGAATTCCTGATCTCGTGGAATCCGCCCTGTATACGAACAAAGATGAATCCATTTGATTGTGATGAGGGATCTGCTGACATGATTAGTTCAGGAATGCATCGTTTCAAATACATCGTTTATCGTCAGCTTTATTGAGTTGAAAGGCAACATGCATACATCAAGGAGAATTGCATTTTGGGAGGGAGCCCCACATTGACTAATTAACGGAATGATCATGAGTTTATAAGTAAGGAATAAATCTACATTGGTACGATTATAAGAGCTTATGCTCAAAGTGGACAATATCGTACCATTGTGGAGAGTCGTGATTCCTAACATGGTATTAGAGCTATGCCCTTAATTTAGCTATGTCAATAGAATCATCAGGTGTCGAACAAAGGGTGTACTTTGCTCGAGAACTCTAAAGAAGAAGTCGAGATTCGATTAAGGGAAGGTTGTTCGAGGGCTCCATAGGCCTTAGGAGAGGCTCTATGACGTGTACTTTGTTTAAGGGGAGGATTGTTGGGAGAGAATCCCACATTGGCTAATTAACAAAATGATCATGGGTTTATAAGCAAGAAATTAATCTACATGGGTACGAGACCTTTTGGGAAAACCAAAAGCAAAGCCATGAGAGCTTATGTTCGAAGTGGACAATATTGTACCATGGTGAAGGTCCGTGGTTTCTAACATAGCAGACACACAGACACGCAAATAGCACGTAAATCCAGGATGCAACATAGGATTTCAACCAAATTGAATCTCTCCAAAAGAGGAAAATCAAGCTGCAGAATAAGGCATACCAGGATAGTGTTGTCTGGGATTTGCATAAGGATGCAAAGTTTCCAGCCGCCTAACTGGGCCCCAAAGCCGTCTAAACAAAGGACTCTGAACAAACACAAACAGCAGCAAATATAAGGGGTACTAGAAACAAAGAATGAAGTAAAATGTAGCCAAAAAGTAACAGAACAACAAAAACAGAATGCCCATTTGAAAGGAAGCCTTAAAAATTGATGGAAAAGGCTCATGTTACTACATAAATCACACAAAACCACCCAGATTTGATGTTATTTCAAATTCACACAAGGAACTGAAATCCCCAAAAACAGAAAGATCTGTAGAAACAATAAGAGAAAGAGATGAGATCTTACAGCCGGGGAGAAATCTGGATGTTCAAAGACGGGTCTCCAAGAGAAGATTGTAACAGCAGCAGCAGATGATTGATACTCAGAAACGGCATCCTGAGTAAATCCAGCAAGGAAGAAATGGGTGAAGAGGGAAAAAGTAGAAAGAACAATACCCAGTAAGCCAACCCATTTCATCCTTGATTTCAACACCATCTCCCCCTTCCCTTTCATAGCCGCCTCAGATTTCTGTCCCCACAAGGCAGAGCCCCAAGGGAAGAGGAGGAAGAAGGTGCAGTAGTGGAAGAGTGAGTACAAATTATAAAATGGTTGACCAGCCAAGTTCTCATTAACCTTTTGGGTAAATTAGAATGCGTGGGTGGACTGATTTGGAGAAGACGAAGAAGTAATAAAGGATGGAGAAAAACGGTGGCCTTTTGGGTTTAAACATAGAACTAGGGTCCCATCATTACCTAAACCACCCATGTTTTGCTCTGTGTCTCTCACGTGCGATGTATGGATAACTTATCTTCGATTTTCTCTCTGTCCCTTTGGATTCAACCGTTTTTCAAACATTACAATTCCTAAATGCTCATATAGCCATAGTAGCCCAGTAGAGTGACCAATGTTCTTTATTGCCTAAGTGACAAATATATATACTCATGAATTGAAAATCGGTGATTAATAGACTATGGTATTAATTTAAGTATTTACTCTGTTAAATGCTTGAAGTTAAAAGAAGGCATTCAGGTACTAAATGATTAGAGAATTTGATTAGTGATATAAAAATTTAAAATAAATGAAAATTAGAGTTATATTTCATATTGATACTATTTTTAAATTTGTGATTGAAACTAAATTTCAATTTGTTGGATAATATATTTATAAATTTTAAAATTATAAAAGTAGTTTTATTCTCATTACTAAATAAATATTGGGTTAAATAAAATGTATGTGTTTTCAATTATGAACTCTGTACAAAATTTATTTTATTATAAATTATTATGTAATATATATATATATCTTAAATTAATACAATCGAAAAAAAAGTTTATAATAACCCATATATATTTACCTATTTTTATTTTTTTTAAGGGCAGTACTAAATTAATTTTTTGATCTTTAAAATATAAAAATGTTGTTGGAATTTATTATTGCTACTTCGAATTAGTGAAGATAGTCATAATCAATTAATATTTGGATAATATATTAGTTATGGAATATATTTTATATATTCGTAATCCGTTAATATTTTTCCTTTCTTTGATTAGTAGTATATTTTATTTTATTCTTAAAATTTAGTTAGTTTATATTTTCATTATTAGGTATTAGTTGGTAGCTTATATTTGTGAATATCAATGAACATTTAACCTTCGATCCCAATTCTATTTCTCATTCTTGATTGTTTCCTTCACTAATAATATTTTCATTTTCAGATCTATTCACACTTTTGAGTGATAGATTTTGTGTCAGTTGGTATTCGAGCCAAGTTGGTAACCAAGGATTTGATATTATTACTCAACGAGATGAATGGTGGAAGAGCTTCTATGTGTATAGCTATGGAAAAGCTGGTTGGCAACAATGATGGAGGTGGTTCTATGAGTATAGCTCTGGAAAAGCTTGTTGGCAATAATTATAATTATTGGAAGTTATGTATGGAAGCTTATCTACATGGACAAGATTTGTAGGATTTAATTGAAGGGGATGACACAGAAATTCCAGCAGATACTCCACAAAATGCTGAATTACGTCAAAAATGGAAGATCAAATGTGGAAAAGCTTTATTTATCAGTACTAAAATCTGACCATTTCAAACGAGATTGTCGGGTGAAAGTGGTATGTGATTGTTGCGGAAAGCCAAGTCATATTAAGCCAAATTGTCGAGTCAAAATGCATGGATCAGAAGTAAATGCTGTACATAAAGTAAAAATTCTTCAGATTCATTTTAGGAACACTGTTTAAGTATTGAGGTTCTTGACCAACCAACAGACGTGACTTCAGCTGTACATCAAGATGATGTCTTTACAGATGCTCATGCCTTTATAGAATGATGAAGAATGGATTGTCGATTCTGGTTGTTCTCATCATGCAACTGGAAACGAAACTCTTCTATCAAATGTTCGTCCACATTGTCAAAAGAAGAGTAAAGGGCCTAGCAAAGTGGCTGAATTGGAATCACGGCTTTCTCAACTCTAGGAGGAACTGAAGAAAACAAGTGATCAACTGAACACATCTAAATCACACAAAAAGCAAGCCCAACAGGAAGCAGAAGAAGCAAAGAAACAACTATCAGATATGTTTGCAAAGCTTGAAGAATCCCAACAGCAGGTGCTTGAGCTCTCAACTTCTAAGGAAGATCAAGTTCAAGAACTGGACAAACTTTCTCAAGATCACGATCGAGCATGGGAGTCTGAACTCGAAGCTATTCAGAAGCATCATGCAATGGATGCTGCTGCATTGGCCTCCGCCATAAATGAAGTTCAGAGGCTCAAGGTCCAGCTGAACATGGTGTCCGAATCCGACCAAACCCAAAGTAACATCGCTGAGTCTGCACAAGTTGAGATGGATTATTTAAGAACCCGCTCTTAGAGACACTCTCCCTGGTTGAAAAACTGAAAAATGAGCTCAGTTACTGAAGAGAACCTGAAGCTCAAGCCCTCAACATTGCAATGAAAAGTCAAAATCAACTCGAAACAGCCAAAGCAGTTCAACTCTTTGTCATAAGAATTGAAGTGATCAAAAGATCAGAATTCATGGAGGGATGACTTTGATTTTCATGGAGGAAAGGGAAGAGGCCAGAAAGGTTTAAATTCTGGTCGTGTTGTTCGTGGTTAAAGTTCTAGCAGTGGTTCACAACAACTATATAGCAACCAAGGGTCGGGATCCTTCAATCAAGCTACTCAACAAGGAATGAAAGGAAATAGAGTAGGGAGAGGAGGCAGAGGAAGACCTGCTGGGAGAGAGAGCCAACAGGGTGGAATTCCATTGCCAATGATAGGATCTCCTTTTGGACCTCTAGGACTAATGCAACCACTTACTCCTGGCATGTCACTCGGTTCAGGCCCACCAGTTTCTCCAGGCTCTAGAAGAGGCGTTTCTTCAGGTTTAGCTGAGTCGAGATTCAATAACTCTAGACCAGTGGGATGGGGTGCTTAACCTGATAAAAAACTTGATGGTTTTGTGGGTGCTGATTGGGCTGGTGACGTGAATGACAAACGCTCCACAAGAGGTTTTGTGGTAAAAAACAAAGCACCATTGCTTTGTCAAGTTGTGAAACAGAATGTAGCTACTACTACGGCTACTCAAGAATGTTTGTGGCTCAAGAGGCTTATTCAAGAAATGGTGACTACTCTCAATCAGCCAATTCAAATTAAGTGTGATAATGAAAGTGCAATAAAACTTGCTGGAAATCCGGTGTTTCATGCTTGTTCGAAACCATATTGAAACTCATGATCATTTTGTTCAAGAGAAAGTGTTATCGCAGGACGTTGAATTGCAGAAAATACATACTAATGAGCAAGTTGCAGACATTTACTCGGCACATGTCAAAGTGAAGTTTGAAGTTTTTTCGTAAGGCTCTCGTAGTTATGAGAAATAAGCTTGGGTAGGTTGTCAGAATTTAGTGTAACTTGTGCTAGTTTGAATTAGTCTAGATATTCACAATCATTTAATATTTAAAAAATATATTAGTTATGTAATATATCTTGAATATTCGTAATTAGTTAATAGTTTTTCTTTATAATTTGATTAGTAATATATTTTATTTTATTCTAGTTTGTATTTTATTTTATTTTATTTTATTTATTTAATTTAGAAGACAAAATCTAAAATAAATAAATATGTTAAATTGTATATTGAATTCATTTGATTTAACGACTATAAAGCACCAACAAATTCAAATTGCATAAGAATTACACCCTTTTAATTACTTTGGAAAATTCAAATTGCATTAGAATCACACCCTTTTAAATATTTTGGAAATCGTTATGATTTTTTTTAATATGAAATGCAAAATTAAAAAAAATAGTATATACAAAGTATCAAATCATATATTGAATCAAATTTTATGAATAAAGTTTTTCTTTTTTCTTTTCTTTTTCTTTTTACCTCATAACTAATTTAATATACTCAACTTGGTTTGAGTGTTCAAAAAGCTCATTAAAAAAAAAAAAAAACTCAATCAACTCAATTCAAACCGGTAGTTTGAGTAAAAAATTGAAAAATTTTATAAATTAGTTCGGTTCATGAATTTATCTAAAATTAAATTGGACTTCATAGAATAATTAATTTTAGAATATACCTTTTCCTTACCATACAAATATATAGGTATATTTTAATTTAATTTTATAATTACTTTTATTATTTATTCTTCCACCATTCTTAAAAATAATTTTTAGCTATTTAGAATTTAATTTTTCAAAAAAATAGATTCAAATTGTTAGGAGTGGAGGGAGAATCACTTTATTGAATGGACTGTTATTTAGGGTTACATAATTAAATCTAGCATGCTAAATCAAATCTAATTCAAATAACTAAATCAAATCTAATCATAACAATTCCTCCCTTAAACGGAACACGAATAACATAAATAGTAATCGTTTGTATCACAAACTTCCTGTAACTTTATCAATTCCCATGTGCCATTTCTGTTTATTATTCGAGATCCATGGCTTGCCTTCATTTCTCACTCTTCAATGCGTCTTTAAATTAATGTGTCTTCAAAGTTTACAGGTTCAATAGTGGTAAACATGGCCGAGTGAGCTTCATCACCTTTTTTACAAAAAAAACTTCTCTTATTGCACAGTCTCTCATCTAGACTGCTTCATCATCTTCTTCACAAAAATCTTCTCCTATTGCAGTCTCTCATCCAGACTGGTGGTCTTTTATTACTCGCCTTATTGCTAGGAGAGCTTGCTTCAGCTAAAGAGCTAGAGGAAATATTTTCCTCGGCTGTATCTTCATCTGTCGCTTCTATCATAGAGTTTGTAAGTTTTTGATTCTTCACTAACTCCCAGCAAAACATAACTCAAACTCTCATCATCTAACTTAGTTCTCCTAGCTGCCTCCTCTTTTTGTCTCTGAATCAACTCGAGCTCACGATATTGTTCTTCTTCCTTCTGTTGCAACTCCAGAGTTAATCGTCGCTTAGCTTTTTCTACCCTTCTCCTATTCTCTTACAACATTTTATCTAGCTCTTCTCTCTCTTTCCGTGCGTGTTCTTCTTTTTGTCTTGTAGCATTAAGAACGGCTTCTTTCTCTTTCTCAAGCTGCACATCAACATCATCAAACAACTTCTTGCGACCTTCCTCTATTCGCCTCTGTATTTCTAATTTAGTCTCTTCAGAGTTTGGCCTTTCTTCAACATTCTCCCGAATTAATTCTTCCATCCTCCTAGTT